TGCTGAGGAAGACTGGCCCTGAGCTAACATCTATTGCCAATCCTCCTCCTTTTTTTCCCCAAAGCCCCAGTAGATAGTTGTATGTCGTAGTTGCACATCCTTCTAGTTGCTGTATGTGGGACGCGGCCTCAGCATGGCCAGACAAGCGGGGCCTGGGTGCACGCTCGGGATCCGAACCCGGGCCGCCAGTAGTGGAGCACGCGCACTTAACGGCCAAGTCACGGGGCCGGCCATGAGATTATTTTTTTAAATATAAGTATCCAATTAATTTAGCTCCATTATTGAAAGGGTCATCCTTTTCTTGCCACATCACAGTGTCATTTTTTTCTGAAAATCAGTTGATCGTATATGTGACTGTAGTCTATTCCACTGGTTTATTTATCTATCTGCACCATTACCCACTATTTTAATTACTGTAGCTTTTTAATATGTCTTGAACAACTTTGTTGTTCTTCTTCAAGATTATCTTGAATAGTTGGCCCTTTGTATTTCCATATACGTTTGAGATCACTTTTTCAATTCACATACACACACACACACACCCCTGTGCTGCCAAATAGATAAAAAGTTAACAAGATACAGTTTACAAGAGCGTTTTAAAAACATGAAACATCAGATGTCTAGAGATTAATTAAATTAAATTTAATTAGTTGTCAACATTTAAAAATTGGGAGATTTCACATAACAAACGTGTATTTCTGACTTCTCTTGAAACAATTGGAAGATCTGGCAACATTGGGCCTACATTCCCAGGTGGCTGGAGCCGAGCAGCAGCTGCCTCCTAAGATGGGCCGTGCTGTCCTCCAGTTGACCGGAGACCCACCAGCCTTGCTTCTCTCATTGGCGTTACTGCCCGATTCCTGAAGCTGTCTGAACTTGTGATCCTGGGGTGGATGTCGTTGCAGTCGTTGTAGTCAGAAATAACAGAGGCTTAAATTAAGGCAGGTGTGCTAACTACATTTTCTTATTTTCTGCATTCTTGATGCTCCGGCATCTGGGGCCTTGCTGAGTGGGGAGAGACTGCCTCTCCCAGGGCTAGTCAGTTCTTAGAGATAGCAAATGACTAGCCCAGGAGTGCGCCTTTCATATGTAAACCAACCAATCCAGAGCTCACACTCTGAACCACCGCCTCTATCGGGCTTTACACTCCAGGAAGCGGTATTCCTCTGCCTTAATCACCCCAGAGACAAATACCAGTCGACTAGGGACAGCATCTATGCCCCGGAACCTGCTGGAATTATTCAGACTAGCCAATCCTAAGTCTGCTTAGCCTGCCTTCCTCAAGGGAACCACAATAAAGGCTGCTGCCCAAGCTTTCCCCTCTCTCCTTCCACCTCCTGACTGACGCTGGTGCTTCCCTATGTAGCCCTGTGTGGCGTGGCAGGCCCCCTCTGTTTCTAGGGGTCTGTGAGTATAAACTTCCTCCTTCATGGTAATCTTTTTCCTGTCTGCGTTTCTTACCATACCCGATTAAAACAAATCCTGGGTACATTTTAAAATAGCAGGGAAAGTGGGAATAGAGAGGAGTCAGTGGGGACGGTTTAAAGTCTGTGGGATTGATAGCAACTGATTGGATACGGGGCAAAGAAGAGGGAAGAAGAAAGGGTCTAGGATGACACCCTAATTTCTCCAGTGGTATTTATCACAATGCATTAAAAAAGTGCTGGTTCACATTTCTGTCTCCTTCACTGTGCTGTGAGCTCCCTGAGGACGGACTGTTGTAACCTTTGTCTTGTCTACCATAACTATAAAGTGGTTACTTTTAATCAACACTATAAAAGTATGTTTGGGGGCCGGCCCCGTGGTGTAGTGGTTAAGTTCGGCATGCTCTGCTTCAGCAGCCTGGGTTCGCGGGTTTGGATCCCAGGAGTGGACCTACACCACTTGTCAGCCATGCTATGGTGGCAACCCACGTACAAAGTAGAGGAAGACTGGCACAGATGTTAGCTCAGGGTGAATCTTCTTCAAGCAAAAAAAGAGGAAGATTAGCAACAGATGTTAGCTCAGGGCAAATCTTCCTCAGCCAAAAAAAAAAAAAGTTTGAACAAATGAATAAATGACCTGTTTTAAATGGTAAAATGAGAATTTAGTTCAGTACATGTTGAATATGAAATGTCTGCAGAACACACAGTTTCCATAGGTAGTTAGCTTCACGGAGGTGGAGTTCAGGAGAGGGGTCTCAAGATATAAGTATAGAAGTCTCAGTGGAGAGAACACCTTTAACTTAATGAGGAGCATGAATAGGGTGCTGAGTGAGAAGAAAAGACGGCTGAGGAAAGAACCCTGGGGTCTCCCAACATAGAGAAAGGGGGCTTGCAATGAGGAGTAAGAAGGAGAGGCAAGTAGAGAGGGGGAAATCTAGAGTGGGTTCCAGAAACCAAGGAGGTAGAGAATTACCCTGAAAATGTTGATTAAGTTAAGGCATGAAAAGTGGTAACTAACAGTCAACGTGACCAAACTTCCAGTGGAGTGGATGGATGTGGACGCCACATTGGACTAAGGAAGGGGAGAAGCAATGATAACAAATTTAGGAACTCCTCAAGAAGCTTAGCTATGAAAGGAAGAAGCAAGAGATGTCAGGACCTAGAGAGAGGTGTGTTGTGACTGTGTCTATATATCGCAAAAGCAAGACATAAAAGTTTAATTCAAAGGAAAAAAATCTGTCAAAATGGCTATGTGACATCATTGCCTGGTGGATTCAGAGGCTGGCCGGTAAGGGAGAGGATTACTCTGACAGCACCAGCCCACAGCATCTCTGCAGGAAGGATGTGGGCTGTGTTACTCTCCCAACACAGATGCAGACGTAGGTGCAGCTATGTCTCAGCAAACGATTTTACCGATTTCTCTTTTTAATGAACTTCTCCTTTGGGAATTATTTTGAAAGGGACCTGTGTTCTTTTTTTTGATGGGGTTCCTTTTGTGGAGGTCTACAAGACTTTTACTGTAGTGCCACTCTGAAGCGGGTAGCTGATGCTCCCAGTTTAAAAATAAGCTATTTATTCATTCAAGTGCACTTAAGCTACATCACCTCTAATGCCGACAGCAACCTGTACAAATAGATATTATCTTCATTTTGCAGATGAGTTAACAGAAGCTGAGAAATGTGAAGGAATTTTTCTAAAACTGCAGAATGGGGATTTGACCCCAGGTCCATCTGGTTCCAGTGCCCATAGTCTTTCCATTAGACCCTATGGATTATTACTTATTACCTTTATTACCTGCACTGTAAAACCTCCTTCAAGAGAGGGTTTCTTTACTGTCCTTGTCATCAACTTACTCATGAGGATTCATATGCAACACTTCAGAAAATGTCTGCTTGATTTTTACACATCACATCATCTCTGGCAGCACATGTGTTTAGTAGGGGACAGAGTACACAGATAACCAAAGACCAAGAGCTTCTCTTTTCATCATCTGTAACCACGTAATTGTAACATCTCTGTTGTTGATATCACATTGCATAGTGCATCTTTTCCTGTAGGCTTTCTCTGAATCTAGCCACTTAGTGAGATGTGCAAATTACCACTATATATAATTTATCACTAATTTTATTTATAATTTATCATGACTTTCTTACAAATCCAAACTCATCCAAATTTCAGACTAGTTTTAGGTATTACAGATGTATTCACTTGGGCAAAATCTGTTGCTAAGACCTCTCAGATTTCAGGGAATAAAAGTTCATTTCTCTATTCCCAGTTTTTCTACATGAGTCACTTCTGGTAAGTTCCCCATTTCTCACCTCTCAGGTTAGGTAAAACATATTTGTTTTGAGTTATAACATGTAGCTTTTTTTGCTCTAATTGCTGTGTTTTCTAGCAGGCACTATTATTTAATATCTACTGGAGCAGGTGCAGATTATGCTCTATCATGGGTTATATTATGTTTTGAGATAAATTATGATTATATATATATTTTTATTTTTAAATTTCCTACTGCTTCTATTTTTAGGTCATATAATGTGAATAATCTAACAGACGACTTAAAAGGTTTGTACAAAGTTGCTGGTGCTGATGGAAAAGGCATCACTTTCATTTTTACTGACAATGAAATAAAAGATGAAGCATTTCTGGAATATCTTAACAACCTGCTGTCTTCGGGGGAGGTAAGTCTCAAAAGTAGAGAAAAACTAATATTTTTAAAGTGTAAATTTGGATAGACAAAACAGCAACCCTTCAGAAGTGAGGCCATTTAGCACACGTTTTTTATTTTAGACATGATTAACGTACGAGATTTACCAGATTTTTTGAAGTTCCTGTGAAATGAATGCTGCCCACCTCCAGATACTTTGTATGTTTTCTTTGATTTTAAATATGCTTTCTTATTTGTCTCTTCAATCTTCAATTTGATCCTATAATTTATTTTAGGAGAAGCAAAGTCATCTATCATCTCTCTCTCTCTCTCTCTCTCTCTCTAATAATCAAGAGTAAAGAATGGTTGAAAGAGTTCCACTAGCTGTAAGTAGCTGTTTGTGTCATGACTTTTTTTTTTCTTTTTTACAACAAATGAACTTCTTTTTTTTTTTTTGAGGAAGATTGGCCCTGAGCTAACATCTGTTGCCAATCTTCCTCTTTTTCTTTTTTTTCCCCCCAAAGCCCCAGTACATAGTTGTATATCCTAGTTGTAGGTCTTTCTATTTCTTCTATGTGGGACGCTGCCTCAGCATGACTTGATGAGCGGTGAGTAGGTCTGTGTCCAGGATCTGAACTGGCGAACCCCAGGCCGCCGAAGCGGAGTGTGAGAACTTAACCACTATGCCACCTGGCCGGCCCTTGTGTCATCACTTCTGATACCACTTGTATCAGCACTTCCACGACCACCCACATTCATGGTACTTTATTAGAAGGACTCATGGGACTTAGCATATAGTTGTACTCATGGCTAAGATTTATTGCAGCAACATAGTAAGGATTCACAGTAGCATCAGTAAAGAAAAAGACACCTCAGGTAGAGTCTGGAGAAATCCACGTGCAGGCTTCCTATGTTCTCACCAAAGGAGCCATGCAGAATATGCTTTTCCTCTAATAATGAAATGCGGTAGCACATGCGTTGTATTTCTGTTCAGGGAAGACTGTTTGAGATTCAGAGTCCAGTGGTTTAATTGGGGGCTGTCATGTAGTCACTCCCTGCCTAGCCACAACTGCCAAAATTCCAGACTCCCAGAAGGAAAGCAGATGTTCACCATATATCCCCATATTTGTACAAATAGTCTAGGCACAGTAGAACAACTTCATCAATTAGTAATGGAGGAGACAGTCCAAAAGCCAAGTTCCCAGATGCCAGCTGAGGGCCAGCCACCCCTGCAATCACACCCTTCTCTAGATCAGACCTGCTCTGTTAACTCTTCCCTTCGCAATGATGTATATTGATGCTTACTGGTGCACGAGCTGGTTAACTACCTTGGAGCCAGAGTTGAGACTATGAGTCAGAACAGAGGGTGTCACTGGACATTTAAAGAGATGATTGGAATGGTAGAGATAGCTTTTTGGTGGTAGCTATTGAGCAAGGAGAAACATAATTTGCTCCCGATTAAGCTGCTCAATAAAAAGTTGCACACTTGGTAATCTGTGGCAAACCAGGGATTTGACTATGGAGATGCAGAAAGAAAATAAGAAAAAAGATGACACGCAGGGGATAAAAAAGGACCAGACTTTGGCAGTGAATTGGCTGTGAGGAACTCTTAAAATACAGAATACTTTCTTGTCTATTCCTCAAAGATCTCCAATTTGTTTGCACGAGATGAGATGGATGAAATCACCCAAAGTCTCATATCGGTGATGAAAAGGGAGCTGCCTCGCCATCCTCCGACATTTGATAATCTGTATGAGTACTTCATCTCAAGGTCAAGGAAGAACTTGCATGTGGTTCTCTGCTTTTCTCCAGTAAGGTTTCATTTTATTTATATCTACATAGGAGGAGTTACTTATTTAAATGTGTTTGGATAGTTTACCTTCTCTGATGAGATGATTTGCTCAGAAACATTGTTACATTGAATTAAAATTAACACTTTACTACCACCAATCTGCACTGACCAAAATCTCATACCAAAGTGTGATCATTTAAAATATTCATCTTACTGGAAATTATTGCATAGCCTACAACTTTCATTAATTACCTAGAGATGTAGATTATCTCAATTATAATATGTTGGATAGTGAATATATTGGTGATATAATCCTATTCAGCTCTACCTCCAATATAGACATACCATCTAGAATGTCCCTGATGTAGGTTTGAATATCTCTAGCTCACCATGCTATCCAATATAATAGCCATTAGCTATGTATGGCCATTTAAATTTTGATTAATTAAAATTAGGTAAAAATAAAAACTCAATTCCTTAGTCCCAGTAGCTCCATTTCAAGTGCTCAATACCTATGTGTGGCTAGTGGCTACCATATTGGAAAACACATATATAGAACATTTCCATCATCACAGAAAGTCCTATTGGGCAGCTCTGCTCTGGGGATCTCACTAACTTGCCAGGCAACCTGCTTAAATTTTAGTTAGTCTAATAGTGAGAAAGATCTTCTTTACATCAATTGTCTCTCTGTCCCTTCCTCTGTGATTCTGCTTCAGTCCTATAAAGTGAACCCAGTCTCTCTCCCTTGTACAGCTCATGAGATATTTGGAGAAAGTTTTGCAAACAGGTCCCATTCCTTCTGCTGTCCTCACTTGTTTGTGTCCAGGCCTTTCATTGTCCTGGTCATCTCTCATTAGAAGAGTTCTAGTTTGTCAGTTTCCTCTTAAAAGGGAGCTCCTAGAGTCAAACAGATGTAGTCTTAGGACAGGGAAGAGTGTGGAAATATTACCTCCCTTCATCTGGACACTTTATTTATTAATGTAATCTAAGAAGATTTTTTTAAAAATTTGTGATGTCACACTATTGGCTCAGAATACATAAACCTCTCTCTAGCCAACTTATAATCCTTCTGTGTTTCTAATGCTTTTTGACTTTGCTATCAATAGGTTGGTGAGAAGTTCCGTGCCCGTTCTTTGAAATTTCCTGGCTTGATATCAGGTTGCACTATGGACTGGTTCAGTCGCTGGCCAAAGGAGGCTCTGATCGCCGTGGCCTCCTATTTCCTTTCAGGCTATAGTATTGTCTGCTCTAGTGACACTAAAAGACAAGTCGTAGAAACAATGGGCCTCTTTCATGACATGGTTTCAGAGAGCTGTGAAAATTATTTCCAAAGGTAAGTGACATTACATAAGCATGATAGCTCAGAACCACAAAGTTCCCCCCAAAGAGGAATTAAATGTAATGTCCAGTAAAAGACTCTTCCTACTGATTGAGCACAAAGGCCCAGCTATACTTAGATTTTTTCTTGCTTTGATTTTCTAGTGATTATGTATTGGAAAGATGATAAATAAACAAGATTTAAAAATTAACTAGTGCCCATACTTAAGTACCTCTTTTCCCTCCAGGCCTCAAAGTAACAGATGCTTAATGAATCACTTTATTTCATTTGCTTAATTTTTCTTTTGAAAACGACTTAACCAATCCATTATAAACTATTTGAAATTAGTTTCTTATTCAAATGCATTATTTATCTTGATTAAAGTAGTACACTGTTTTACAGTTTCATTATTGCCTTATGTTAAGGGAACATTTAGGCTTTGTATTTGCATCACTTAGTCTTATCAATGTTTTCATGCCAAATAATTATGAAACAAAATTTTAATTGACTGTAGAAGAGTCCATTCCCTAAAAGCAGCCACGGTGTTCATTATGTGAAAGCTGGGGTTGACAGTTCAAAAATACGGAATTTCTATCCAGTAGTCACTGTTACAATTGAGAGATGTGAATGAAGGTGGACCAACATGGATCTCTGGAACAGTGGGCTCCTCTCTTAGGGTTAATGGTGGGGTTCCAGGGGGTGTAGAACCTCCCAGAAAGACAATGCCTATTTTTCTGCATAGAGAGTCTGGTAACGCTTTCATTGATTTTTCCAGGAAGTCCCTATCTCACAAATGTTTGTTTATCCTGGCATTTTCTTTACTTAAAACCATACCTGGACCACGCTCTTACATAATTCTAGATAATCTCCCAGATGCTCTTGGTGAATCTGCGTGTATTAATTCTTACTGTTAGGAAGATTTTCTTTTTACTTCACTTGAACTCCACCTGCCGCCATCATCTGTGGAGAGAAATTTTTTACCTTTGTACAGGTACAAAAACCCATGTCTTTATTTTTGAAAATATTGACGTATTTTCCAAATTTTTCATATCCTCTTAGGTTGTCGAAGTTTATTCTGAATGTAATATTTATATAATATTTAATGATAGTCACATATTTGCCCAAGTCCTTAAATTTTTTTTAAATATTAAAAATCTTCAGAACTCTAAAAGTGAAAAATTAATATAAAAGTTAAAATAATTTTATAGTATGTGAAGAGCTCTTCTTTGACTTGAGTTTCTCCTGAATAAAATTATTTCTTTTATTTATTTCTATTGTTAAATATAGTTACTATACTAAAGCCTGTAGTGAGTTGAATGTTTGAATCAAGTGTGGCTGCCTTGATTTCAAGGACGATTCAGTGAATCAGGGGAGAGGCTGGTTTTCACCTTGTAAGCCCACTCTGCTGGGTTTGTAGCAGTGAAAAGGTGTGTAGCAAATATCAGTTGAATGAAAACAGATCGTAGCACAAATTCACTTCAACAACTTATCCCTAATATTTGTATAGAACCTTGAAGTTTACAAAATGTCTTTACATATGCTGTTTTATTTTTTGATCTTCACAAAATACTGGGGAGTGTAGGGCGGTGATTCTTTTCTCGGTTTTCCAGATGAGGAAATAAGCCCAGAGTGGGGATAAGAGTCAAAGACCTCTAAAAGGTCAAACATCAGTTAGAGATTTAGTGTTCTTCCCACCTCACTTCTAGGGAAACCATTCCTTCCCTCTTGCTAATGACTCACTCTCTGGAATTACACTGATTTCACAGTGGGAAGAGCGTCTGTATTGACGTTTTATGAGAGTACACCAGAATGATAGAGAGGAAGATCACTTTTATGTTCTACTTTCAGATACCGCCGAAGAGCACATGTGACTCCCAAATCTTATCTCTCTTTTATAAATGGTTATAAAAACATTTATACTGAAAAGGTGAAATATATTAATGAACAAGCTGAACGTATGAATATTGGTAAGCAGAATGGAATCTTGTCTTTTTAGGGCTTGTTTGATGGGGATCCCAATATTTTGTTTGGCAGATATTGTTGTGTTTGAAAATGAAATACTGACTTTATTGTTAGTAATAGATTATTTTGAGGGATACTCTTAAGGGTCTTTGACCTGTCAAGAAACTCTGGGCAGAAGAAAATCTAAACAGAGATGGCCTGTTTTCTCTCTGGAACCACTTCTCCCAGCTCTTTCAAATCTGGGCCCACCCTGTTGGGCAGCAAGTCACCATAGTTACCGCAGATGGGGAAAAGCCAGATCTTGGCAACTGACCACAATTTCAGTTTTGGGTTTCTTTACAATTTGCCTGGATTTGTATAAACTTTGCCATGTTAATGCTTCTCAAATTTCTAACAAATGAAGAGGCAACAAAACAGAAACAAAAAGAGATAACAGAAAGAGACTGTTTACCTGAGCAATGATTTTCTGAGTGTCCAGTGTATGTAATATACATAGGAAAAGTATAAATTGGAACAGATTACAAAGTCCAGAAAGCTTGTTTGGCCCAAACAATCCAAAACATGTTAGTGCTTTCTTTTCACTTCTTCTACACAAAACTTGGTCACATAGCATAACTGAGCTCTAAGGTCTGTGAAGTTACAGTGATGATAGAAGCACTGTGAAAGAAGCCTTCTTCTGCTGTTTTTCTCATGTCTCACTTTCTTGCAGCTTTTCCATAGAATGTTCTAGAATCATGGTGTGCTGAAGCTACTTGTACTGGCATGTGAGAGTTAATTGTTCAATTTTTAGGATTTTATGATCTGGTAAACACAGCCTTTATTAAAAGTTAAATCATATAAACTTACAATTAAATAAATTATATTAAAAAGAAGGCAATAAATACTCAAAACATCACTTCTTAGTTATTTTTACTCTATTTTACTATTATTAATGTTCTTGAGGTTATTTATTTCTGTCAGTATGGTAGAAGTGTTATATAATGGTATGCTACTGAGAATCTCTTGGTAGCTTGAAATCAGCCATGTGGAGAGTATTTACACCATGGGAATTGGAAAACATACAGATGAATGATCCCCCTTGCCTGCAAGAGACCCAGATGCTAAACATTCACCAAAACACCACTGTCTAGAACCCAGTTGGAATGTGAAAAATTCAGTTAACCAGTTATTTTTCTCTACAGTACTGAAAGTCACAGAGCCAGTTCCACAAGTTTTAGTATTTTCATTTTTATAGCAAAGAGAACCACCAAAATGTTAATATAGTTTCTGTCTCATTTGCCATCTCAGTTGTAATGTGATTCAAAGGCAAAAAATGATAGTTACAAACTGTTTGCAAAGCCAAGGAGAGCAAAAATTTGTCAAATAAGTTTCCTGACTAAAATAATCTTACTCAATATGGCATTGTGACTTTCCCTTAAACGTAGCTAGACGATGTTCTTCTCTCAGAGCTATTTTCTTCAACCCCTGCTGAAACTCGCAGAAATATGATCAATATTGTTGCTCTAAGATAGGTGTATTTTTGAAGCATTTGTCCAGAGATAATTATCCTGTGTTTGTTGTAGTACTTAGATGGTGCCTTATAAGTAGTAAATGTTGAATAAATATTTGATGAAGGGATGTTCATATGCTCAGCAAAAGCGTATATGTGTGTGTTTGTAAAGGTCTTGATAAGCTTATGGAGGCAAGTGAGTCCGTTGCGAAACTCTCTCAAGATCTTGCAGTAAAGGAGAAGGAATTGGCAGTGGCTTCTGTAAAAGCAGATGAAGTGAGTTGGCATTTATTTTATCATGAAGGGTGGGGAATATTGTTTCATATTAAAAAATTATTTTTTATGTGTTATTAAAACACATAGTTTTATACATAGGATATAAACCTATAGACTATTTCTGGTAAGATAATGTTCACAAAGACCATTAAATATTTTTGTTTAAGTTATTCCAAGACATGTCTAAACTATTATGTCCTCTATCTGATCGAAGACTATTCTACTTCTCTGGCTCTGCCTCTCTTTTCTGTCTCATCTGTTTATGAAATTTCTGCTAGACTATAAGTTATATTGGTCTTCTTGTTAAGATCCCTGAACACTCTAGGTTTCTAGGATAGCCCAAGTCCCATCTGAAGTTTGTATGGAGGAGGGAAAAGGATAAGAGGAAGAGTTGGTGGAGTTAAAAAAAAAAAAAGATACTTTTCCCTAAGTGATGGGGATAAATGTTGCTCTTTTATACACCACCCACCAGTCTCAGATTACTGTCAGCTTCCACTCACTGAGAGTCCTTTAAGAATAGATACTTACATCTTGACCCTTAACCTGTTGCCGGACTGAGGGAGACAGCATAGGGGAGGCATCATATGGTAAGCATTCAACAAACATAAGCCATTTTTATTGTTATTACATGAGGCTTAATATGGTTTCTGATCTTATTCTATTACACTGACTTGAATTGTTTTAATTTTCTAGACATTCCATAGAGTAGAAATACCGTTTTTCTGAAGGCTTAAAACATTTATTTTATATTCTAAGCCTGAGGAAAGCTTAGGAAGTAGAAGACTGCAAGGAACTGATCAAAGGACTTACTTTAATGCACCTTAAAATACAGATGACTTAGATGGGGAATAAATTTGCTCTTATTCATGTTTTATATTATATTGAATAAATATTCTCTCATTACTCAAATCTGTAAATTTTGCTCAAAGGGTTTCTATTTACTCTCATGTGTTTCCTCAACTTAACAGGTATTAGCAGAAGTCACAGTAAGTGCTCAGGCTTCAGCCAAAGTAAAAAATGAAGTGCAGGAGGTAAAAGACAAAGCCCAAAAAATTGTGGATGAAATTGATAGTGAAAAAGTAAAAGCGGAGACTAAACTTGAGGCGGCTAAACCTGCACTGGAAGAAGCAGAGGCGGCCCTGAATGTGAGCAGTGCATTGTTATCCCTCCCAACACAAGTGCTAGCAGGCGCCACGATTCGTGACATGAAATAACTGTGGAATTTTTGTAATCAGAAAACTGAATTGAATTCTTCACGTGATTTTATTTTCTGAGTCTGGAAACAAATGTTTATCCTGATTAAGTTTTCTAAGTACTAATTTTTTAAAGTCTTCACTTCCCATAAATTATTTTCGCTTCATAAATCAGCCTTCCATGAGAACTGAGAAATAATGCTAGTGATTAATGGCCTAACCTGTAGCATAAGGGATTCAGATATGTAGAGAGCTGTCTCAGTTCCTTCAGCACCCTGTCCCGATGACGTCATGTGCCCTTTTAAAATCCCCTTGTGGTTCTCGTTGCTCTTAGGATAAAGTCCCAAGTGAGGCATCCACAGCTGTGAGGCAAGAGGGGCACAGCTTCAGAGGCAGGCAGACCTGCATTTGCTTCCCGTGACCACCTCTTCCTAGACATATGATCTGGAGTAAATTTACTTGACTTTCTTAGGTCCCCATGGGGATTATAATTCCTCATTGATCCTTGAAGGATCAATGTAAGCATTAAAAGCAATGAATACAGTTTGCTGGGCATGTAGAAAGTACTCAATAAATATTAGTGCTGCTGCTGATAACCTGGCTCCTGTCTACCCATTGAACTTTATCTCTTGTCATTCTGTCCCTACACACAATATGATGCAGCCATACAGAAACACCTATAGGCTTCTGGAAGAATCATGGCCTCTTTAAATGTGTCTCTCCTTCTGCCAGGAATGCTTTCCCTAACCTTCATTGCCTAGCAAGAGTCATTCTTTTTTTTTTTTTTTTTGTGAGGAAGATCAGCCCTGAGCTAACATCTGCCAATCCTCCTCTTTTTTTTTGCTGAGGAAGACTGGCCCCGGGCTAACATCCATGCCCATCTTCCTCAACTATATATGGGATGCCGCCACAGCATGGCTTGACAAATGGTGTGTCGGTGTGCGCCCAGGATCCAAACCAGTGAACCCCGGGCCGCCGCAGCAGAGTGTGCGCACTTAACTGCTTGCGCCACCGGGCCGGCCCCAAGAGTCGTTCTTCAAGACCAGGCTCGGGCCTCACCTCTTCCAGAAAGTTTTTGGTTCTTCTGGCTCCCCTTTATTTTCCTAGCACTCCTATGCTTCTATCATGACAGATCATCCTAGTTTAGGGTAATTGTGTTTTCTTTCTCTTCCTTGGAAGATTATGAAGACAAGCCTATGTTTGTTTGTTTTTTGTTCTATATGGTTGAATGCCGGTAGTTGTTGAATGAATAGATTTGTGATAATCATTTAATAAAATTGTGACAATGACCAGGACACATTCTCCATCCCCACTCCCTTTATGAGTCCCATGATAAGGCAGAAGAGAGGGAGATCACTGAACCAAATGAGTCTTAGAAGATTTTATTGATCATATGATGTCCCAGTCCTTCTTGCCTTGAATGTCAGGTAATGTCTTATTCCAAATCCAGCTTACAGACAGAAACTTCCAAAAGTATTTTTATGAGCCATATGTTATAATAACTTCTCTTGTGTCCTTCACATTTCTTCCTCTTCCACAGACAGGGCAGCCCTCAAAATGAAGACTGAAAGTGAGGTTTCTGATATTCAGGGCCTTGCTCCTCTTTTTTTTTTTTTGTGAGGAAGATCAGCCCTGAGCTAACGTCCATGCTAATCCTCCTGTTTTTGCTGAGGAAGACTGGCTCTGAGCTAACATCTATTGCCAATCCTCCTCGTTTTTTTTTTCCCCAAAGCCCCAGTAGATAGTTGTATGTCATAGCTGCACATCCTTCTAGTTGCTGTATGTGGGACGCGACCTCAGCATGGCTGGAGAAGTGGTGCGCCGGTGCGCGCCCGGGATCCGAACCCAGGCCGCCAGTAGCGGAGCCTGCGCACTTAACCACTAAGCCACGGGGCCGGGGGCCCCCTTCCTCCTCCTTTAATATCCACACACAACACAGACTCTGTGCTTTGAAGATGCCAGTTCTCTAAATGTTACCCATTAATGAGGCCAGTTGCTAACAGGGGTCTGGGGTGGTGGGCAATGGGTGGTAGTGATATTCTAAAGCAATTAGTTGAAGGCAACAGAGGAAAAAAAGAAGAAAAACAAACAAACAGAAATCCCAGAATAACAATGAAAGAGCCATTATGCAAAGGAATGCAAGCCCTTGAGGAAATAATGTCAGGGAATGGGGAGAAAATACTTTTCAAAGTTTTCTACTTTAATTGTTTAAAAGTATTAGATTTCCAGGGGCCGGCTGGGTGGCATAGAGGTTAAGTGCGCGCACTTCACTGTGGGGGGGTGAGGGGGTGGGGGGCTCATGGGATTTGGATCCTGGGCGCGCACCCATGCACCGCTTGTCAAGCCACACTGTGGTGGCATCCCATATAAAGCAGAGGAAGATGGGCACGGACGTTAGCCCAGGGCCAGTCTTCCTCAGCAAAAAGAGGAGGATTGGCATCGGATGTTAGCTCAGGGCTAATCTTCCTTATAAAAAAAAATATTAGATTTTCATATGACTAGGAATACTACTCAAAAATTTTTTTTGATTCCTAACCCCAAATATAGACTATCAAGCCAAACGATATTGCCACAGTCAGGAAACTTGCGAAGCCCCCACATCTTATTATGAGAATCATGGACTGTGTTCTGTTGCTATTTCAAAAGAAAATCGACCCTGTTACTATGGATCCAGAAAAACCTTGCTGCAAGCCATCATGGGGAGAGTCATTAAAAGTAAGTAATTCTATCTTTGCTAAGTCCTGTGAGGTGCATCAGGCGTCCTCATCCCGGGGCACTCATATAGACCAGATAAGTTGGCAGACAATAATCGATTATTGTGTATCGAAGTTTATCTTAAACAGCATCTCCCAAAATGTAAGTAGGGAAAGATTTTAAAGCTGCGTGTTTTCTTTTTATAAAATCTGTCCAGAACCAGTGGCTACTATTGGCACAGTCTTGATATGAACCCAACCCGGTCTCCAAAAGGGTGCCTGTGTGGTTGGTGGCATTTAGAGATGCTCACTGGACAGGAAATTTACATAGTTTTTCTTTTTTACTCTTCCACCATGGAAATGGGAAGACAATTTGCAATTTACACATGTAGGTTGACTACTGCCATAGTATTGATTTGTATGTTTAGAGCACATCAGTTGTTCCTTCTTTGAAAAAATTCAATGTAGAAGTACATACTAACTCAAGAAGAAAGTATTTAGTTTCTTTCAGAACTTACAGGTTGTAATACTATTTTTCAGTTGATGAGTGCAACAGGATTCCTGTGGAGCCTTCAGCAGTTCCCTAAAGACACTATAAATGAAGAGACTGTTGAATTACTACAGCCATATTTTAATATGGATGATTACTCTTTTGAAAGTGCCAAAAAAGTCTGTGGGAATGTGGCTGGTCTGCTGTCTTGGACACTTGCTATGGCAACATTTTATGGTGTCAATAGAGAAGTGTTGCCACTGAAGGTAAAAATTTTCCTCCTTCTCCCAGTAAATCAATGTTTAATAAAATCAATCGTTAGTACTGCTGTTATTAAAAGACAAAGCATAACTTCAAATAACAAAGGTAGATGTCCTTGTTATCAAAGTTTTCTTTTTTCTGAATGTCCTATCACAGTTTCTCATTCTTTTTACATCTGTTTCGTTTCTTGGCATCGCAGACAAGAAACCGAAACCAACTTAAATAGGAAATTAATTTATTGGGAATAATAATCGAGCTAATTATAAAGGAAAATGGGCTGTATCTTTAAAGTTTAGAGATTAGGTTTGGAGACTGCATTTAATTACTATATTCCAAACAAAATTTATAAAAATTAGGATCAACACCTAGAAATGTTTTAAATTTCAAAGACAGAAAGAGAAACTTATATACATCTAAGAAACAATCAATCAAACAAAAGTAAAAAAGTTGCTTACAAAAGAAGAGAAATCCGGATGTTGCAGACTTCCCACCTGTTTCTAGAAAACTAGAAAGTAATGGAAAAATATATGCAGAGTATTGAGGAGGAAATTGCTGGGGTTCGAGAATTCAATAACTGGCCAAACTGCCCTTCACGTATGAGGGAACAAAAAGACATTCTTAAGGATGCAACTTAAGTATTGAGGGGTAAATACACACACACACACACACACACACACACACACCATCTATACTGTCCTTCATGATGGAGGGACTAGAAAGACATTCCCAGGAGTACAAACGATTCATACAATATACCACTTAGACACGTACTACCCACTGCCCCCTGCCCGAAACCCTGTAAAGCTAAAAGAGTTGAAAGTGGTTTCTCTGTGGAATGGAAAATTGTGAGTAGGTGGGTAGGGGGTTATATTTTTCATAAGCTTTATAGAAATGGCTTCCTCTTTAAACTCTGTGGATAGGTAACCTTGAGAAAAATAGAAAATAAATTGAAAATAGGAAAATTTTATCAAAGGGAAATGGTGAGAAAATATAGCAAATGCACCCGAAGAAAATGATACTAAGAGAGAAATGTTATTATAAATGTAGAATTAAAAAAAAAAGCACACGTAAGAGCAGTTTTTTTAATTGATAAAAATTGTGATCCACGGTGAAACTTAATTGTAATAATGCTTTATACAATAAATAAAATAGCATCCAATTACATAAAGCAAAATCCATTGGTATTTTAAGTGAAGATTAACAAAAATAATATTCTAATTTGAGATTGTGGCACATACCGTCAATCCACGACATAACTGGTAGGCAGAGGCCAGTTTTATGGGCGTGTAACCTGTGCACACAGGACCCCATGTTTAGAACAGCCCACGCTTGGCTTAATGCTCTGCTGTCACCCTCTTGAAGTTCTTAACAATTTTTTAACAAGGGGCCCTGCGTTTTCCTTTTGCACTGGGCCCTGCAAATTATGTAGCCAGTCCCGAGTAGGCATAAATTAATAATTATATAAAAATTTTACGCTATATTATTTTTAAGGTTGAATAGCTACATTGAACTTTCTTCAATATGAACAAAGAATATGAATTGTTTCTAGTGTCCAAGAAAAGTTTACAAAAATGGATCATATTCAATTCTAAAAGACCTTGATCCAATTCCAAAAGCAAAAATTGCAGAGGCATCGTTCTCTGATTATAAACAATAAAATTAGAACGTTTACATTAGAAAGAGGGCTAGTCACTTCTATTTAGAAAATGATGACAAAGAGCTAGTTACCAAAGCTTTTGTGATGTGGCCAAAATCCTACATTCCTAGCCCTTAAATGAATCAAAGAAACTAAACACTTTAGTACATACTCACTTATAAGCACATACACACAATTTAAGGAAAGTGGAATAGAGCTAATAAAAATATTAAAAATTAGAGAAGACAAAAGTAGCAGAATTAAAGAATTGGTGCTTTGCAAAAAAAATGTGTGAGACATGTTCTTGGAAAATCTAATCAAGAAGAAAATCAAAGTAGAAAGATAAATCCGTATAATGATAGATGTGTAGATTTAAATAATTAAAAAGCAAATTTTACATAGTTATGTGTAAATACATTAAAAAATCTAAATGAAATGAAAATTTCCTGAGAAAAAGGGCTAAATTCAAAAAACCAACTATTGAGAAAGAAAATGAGGAAGTTAAGTAGGAACTTCTATTCCAGAAGGCTCTAGGGCTATATTACTCTGATTATTTTAAATTTACAAGAAACAGATAATTACCACACTGTAGGACTTAGAAAAAGATGAAAAACTACTGTTACAGTAATTTCACGTCAAAAAATCTTCACCAAGGAAAGAATCCAAAATGTTTACATACCCAATAGTATTTATCACAGCATTATTTATAATAATTAAAAATGGAGAGGGAAAAAGAAATGTTTAAAAGTAGAGAAAAGGTCAAGTAAATTATGATACATCCAAATTGTGGGATATCACACAGCTATATAACCAATGTTCATGAAAAATTGTTTATAAGGATGTGGGGAAATGAGTATAGTACATTAAGTGAAAAAAAAAAATCAAAATGCCAGTTGTCAACTTCTTAACACAATATTCGCAGACTATCTCTGGGTAAAATCATGGGTAATTTTCGTTCTCCTTCCTATATGTTGCTGCATTTTCCAAGTTTTCTATATTGAACATTAATAATTAAAAGAAAAAAGAGAACTTTAATGAAACCTCTTCAAGATTCTCTGCTTCCCCAGCTGAAAAAACTGAGAGAGATGACCTCCAGGTACCAAGTAGGGAAAAAATTATGTAATTGATGTTGTTATTTACCAATTCCAATCAGGAACGTTTCAAGGTGCTAAAACGACTCTGCACTGATCACCTCTTCTTGCTTTCAAGGCTAACCTGGCCAAGCAAGAGGGCCGTTTGGCAGTCGCCAATGCTGAACTGGGGAAGGCGCAGGCAATGCTTGATGAAAAACAGGCTGAGCTGGACAAAGTGCAAGCAAAATTCGATGCAGCAATGAATGAGAAAATGGTGAGTTAAATACACAAAATTGCTAAAATGACGTACTGAAATTTGACACAAGTCTGTGTCGTATTTAGAAATTAGGCAAATGTTTATGATGAAAAAACATTTACCTGAATGCCTTTACCTGAATGCACTGGCTGTGTCTACTTATTTTGGATCTTCAACACTCTTGTGTTTTTAATAATCATTTTCTGTAAGAGTAAGCTGTGATGTCATACCCAAAGTGTTTTCTGACTTTAGAGTTAGAAAACTGGGTTTGAGATGGAGATCAGGCACTTATCAATTGTGTGATTGGGGGCGACTGATCTAACTTTATCTGTCAAGTGGGAATTCTAATATGACCTCATAGGATGGGTTGTGTAAGCAGTGGTGGTCTGGTAAATGTTCAACAATCAGCTTGTTGTGGGGCAGGGGCAGGGGGAGAAGAAAGCCTTGATTTGCAGTATTTGCTGATTTCTGTAGTCTAGGTACTCCCACCACTGTCAATTTTAAGCTGTCAATGTGACAACACTGAACACAGATTTGGAAAAAGATGGGCAGCATTGCACCATTATGAATATTTCCACCATGCAGATACAATGGACTTACATAACCTCAAGGGTATAGATAATATGAAAATGTAGTAAATAATTAGGAAGAAGATGAGTTCTGATTATTTATTACGTTTGCTTTGACATAATTTGTTTAATAGAAAGTTTATATACTTTAATTTTTAATAATGGCTGTGTTTAACACCAGCTCACAAATTTTCTGAAAATTTAACAATTGGCCCTTGTGAGCTGATACAAGCTGGCTGCAGCACAGTACTGTTTTGTAGAATCTTTTTTCTGGGAAAAAATACTTTGTGAACTGCAAAGAACTCAGAATTATTATTAAATCCAAGATTTAAAATGGTATATTTTATTGATTGGATTATGTTTTGAAAATATTTAATAGAAATACTATTTTAAGCTATGTGATTTGGATTCTGTCTTAGAAAATGGCTTTTCTTGAAATTTCATAAGGTCAAATAACAATATTATGAATGAATTAGGAGAATTTAATATGTAAAGTTTCAATCACACTGTATTTTTAGATTATATTTATTTTGCGATTAAGAAATTTCTCCGTGTATTTTTACGTGTGAATATCACGGATGTTTGATTAAGCAATTTAAAAAGTTCTTGAAACATTCTCCCTTTGTGAATGTAGGATTTGCTTAACGATGCTGATATGTGCCGGAAAAAGATGCAGGCAGCTTCCGCTCTCATCGATGGGCTGAGCGGAGAGAAAGTCCGATGGACTCAGCAAAGTAAAGAGTTCAAAGCTCAGATTAATAGGTATAAATTTTGGTGTTTGTTATAATCGCTCTCCTTAGTCATCACTCCAGACACCGCCTCTCTGTGATGTTAGAGAACATAAAGTCCATTTCCCTGAAGTGCTTTTCTCCTTCATTTCCATTTACCCATCTCTGTATCCCATCATCTAAGAAAGTGCCTACCGCTTAAGTCACACACTCTCAGGAAACAGGGCAGAAAATTTTGTGAAACACTTTTAATCTCAATTTCGGTTCAGCAATGTGGGTTTTCAGTACAAGAGTGCTTCCGAAATGGTTAGGATTTGCCAGAATAGTCTAGATACTTGCTCCAGTTCTAGACTCTTCACCTCAGTGGGTTTGAAAGTGTGGATCAATGGTTTGTTCTAAATGCAAGAGTATCTTGTGCTGGTATCTATTGGTGTCCTCAGAAAACTTAAAGAGAGGGGTGGGAGGAAGGCAAAAAGAAAGAAAAAAAAGAAGAAGAAGAAAATAGTTTAACCAAGACTGAATCTGCACTGGACCAGGGCATGGGATGGAAAAAGGATACTTTCGTTCTCTGGGGGTCAAGGCTCTAGACTTGTAGGCTTCAGGAAGGAGCCTTCTCTCTTGCTCCCTGACCTACCCCAACTGTGGCCACTCCTACCCCCTTTTGGGTTTGGGGGCACCTTTTTGCATTGTCTCTCCATGTCTGGCTACCAATTGTTAAGCAAGGAGCAAAGAAGGATTTCGCCTAGTAAGGAAACAAAACTGCAGTGTGGCCTTTAAACTCCTTAATGGCAGAGCTTAACATGTGTTGGGTGACTCACTTTGTGTCTTTTCTTAACAGACTCGTAGGTGATGTTCTGCTGTGCACTGGATTCCTTTCCTATCTTGGTCCTTTCAATCAAATATTTAGGAACTATTTGCTTAAGGATCAATGGGAGATAGAGTTGAGAGCACGGAAGATTCCTTTCACTGAAAACCTAAATCTTATTTCAATGTTGGTGGATCCTCCAACAGTAAGTGTCACTTTCCTTATATTATTTGAATGTCAGCCTCATTTTATTTCTTACTTGCTAAGAAATCAAGGTACACTTAATTTTTTCTTTTTTCCTTTAATTGAAAAGATTGTTTTGAAAATGCTAAAGCTTTACAAAAAAAAGAATTTTCTTTGTGGTATAAAAGTTTCATTGCATTTTAAGAAATCTTGCTTTCAAATGAATACCGATTGCACTGCTGTGAACTAAAAGATTTTTCCCGAATTATAGGCCTGCTAATACTGAACTCTTCCTATTACCCTCATTATTTACACTCTCCTATTAAGTCACTCTCTCTGTTAAACATTTTGGGCAAATGTAGGCATTAGCTAGGCCATAAGCACTGGTATTAACCTTCTTTTGATCATTAACCATCTTTTTTTAATGTCCAGTAGCATAACACAATAGCACATTCTGGTATCGCTGAGCAATAGCGTGCCCTACTGCGCTAAACTTCCTTGCTGGGAATTTGATGCCACCATCAATTTTCAGTATATCTTGCAGAGCTCCTGTGGTATTAAATGCTTTCCAGGCAATTTGTATTTAGGAGCTGCTTTCTGATTTGTAATATGCTCCCCAGATGCTCTTTCCTTAGGGATGCCATGCTATTAATATCATGTTATCCGTACTTCAAAGTTAAAAAATAATCTTTCCCCATTCAAACAATGTTCAACTAGCCTTACAGGGACTAGATAATGTATTGGAGATGCATTGGGTACTGGCGAGGCAAAGTGGGCCAGGATATTCTTTACTAATTATGGCCTTTGGAGATGCTGGGATAATTCGACAAAGGGGGAGGCTGGTTGGTTCATTGGATCTCGGGTGATTTTATTGACCATGTGGGGGCAGGCGGGCAATTCCCTTTAATTTGGAAGGGAAATATTTTTTTAAAAATGTCATTGATGAGCTCCTGCCGATATAATATCTCATCTTCCCTAATTTCTCTGCCTCCAGCTATGCAATACCCCAGCTGCCATGAAAGCAGAACCAAAGGGCAGGAAGGGAAGGTTTCAGAGATTGGTCTCTTGGGGCTTATCTTCTTCTCTGACATCTCATTATATTCCTTATCTCCGCTAACTCCAGCCACTTTTGATCCCACCACCAACCCAGTGTCACCATATTTAAGCCCCTTTATTCTCTGAATGTTCAGCAACATGCTTCAAAATCCCCAAATGAGGTTTAATATGCAATCAATTTACAGTATTTCCTCATAAGTATGAAAATACAATGTAAAGGACTAAACCTAGTCTTGGGTTATTAGAGAAAGGATTTATTAGATGATAAATTTGTTTTTTAAATTTAATGTTATTTTGTTCACATTTACAAGTTTTGTTTTTTTTCTAGGTACCTGTTGCATAGTCTCAATGGAAAAAAATGTCAAATTTTGAATTCTTTTATATCGTGGTACTTTTAATTACTAACGAAAGCATTCTTGTTGTCCACTGAATGGCCATGTCCTTTCCCGTTATTCAGATTGGCGAGTGGGGGCTGCAGGGGTTACCAGGAGATGACCTCTCAATTCAGAATGGCATCATTGTGACAAAGGCCACCAGATACCCACTCCTCATAGATCCACAAACTCAAGGCAAAACTTGGATTAAATCAAAGGAAAAAGAAAATGACTTGCAGGTATGTACCATTTGGTGCATAGGAAAGTAATCTTGAAGTCATGAAATTTTCCCAAAATTTCCATTCAGTCTGCCAGTCATGAAATTGTTGTCTCTATGATAATTGTTTGCTGATTTACACCCGTGAGCTTCGTAACAGTGATTTGGGGCAAAGGCTCTGATTATCTTCTCTTTTGTGCTCTCTTTAAATCTCATTCTCTTTCTCTCTGTCCATTTTCCTGACTCTATAGTTTTGCCAATGTTGGATGTGGCTTTTATTCTGGGCCTTGGGTTTGGGCTTATAAGAAAGCAGCAAAAATAGAACTTGTGATTCCTCAGTTTAAGGCCATTTGCACCAACCTAGCTCAGTACTTGGTACTACATAGCATACTAGAGTCCAGTGTTGGAGTTGGAGTCTAATGAGGTGTAATTTTAAGGTAGCGTAGACAAGGGCAGGAGTCCAACATTCCTGGCTCCCTTGGGGATCTTGTTACCATCGATATTTCAATTCAGCTATCAATACGGACTATCATTGTTTCCTAGACCCTGTTCCCAGTTCTAAGCCTCCCACATCCATATTTTTGCTCATACTATTTCTATTAATTAGAATATCTTCTCCACCCTACTGCCCACTTCTCTTACATCCCGTATAAAAATCTTAAACATCGTTCAAAGTCCACATCCAGGGCTACCTTCATCAAGACTTGTCTGTGTCTCCAGCTTAATCTAGCCTGTCCTGAATCCTCACAATTCGGGATTGTCTGTATTGTTTGTATTTCTTGTCTTGTTTGTATTTCTGTTACAGACTTAGTGAATTATTGTTCTTTGCACGTTTTTTTTTATCTCGACTGTACCATAAACTTCCTACTGAGCAGGTTTATGATTTTACACCATCTTTATATTTTCTGTACAGCTCTTTATATAGAGTAGGAATTCTGACATTTATCGAATTTAAGTGGATTAATCAAAGTTGTGTCATCATTCGGGGGAAAAAAAACCCAGGAAAATCATCTGGTCGTCTTGATAAATGCATAAAAAGCACTTGGTAAAATTCAACACTCATTCATGATATAACTTCCAGCAAACTAAGAAGAGGAGGGCTCTTCCTTAATCAGAAAAAGAGTATTTACAAAAAGCCTACAACCAACACCATATTTTATGGTGAAATGTTGAAAGATTTCCTTCTGAGATCAGAGCTTTACCGGCAAGCGGACACCGCCCAGTGCTCAGGAACACCCCTAAGATACTCCCACCTCGTAAATCCTCCAGAACACAGTGCGTCAGTCTATGTTTACTTAAAAAAACCCAGAGAAATCCCAGAAGGGATCAGAGTGTAATGGAGGAGAAGAGTTAAAGGAAATGGAGTTAATGGGAGTGTAGCTTCTGAGGAGCTCCATTCACAGAAGGAGGGCACAAGTGGAGTGTCCCGGGGCACTCCTGCTCCTGAACCTAGCTTCCTGGATCCAGCTCAGCTAGAACTTGTCTGCTGCTCTGTTCCTGCTCCCTTGCCTGGCTGTTGATCTCCCTGCTCACCTTACTCTTATTTTTCCTGACCACAGCTTTGTCTCTCCATTTTGGCATTAAACTCCTCGACAGCCTTCAGTCATGTCCTTCCTGATGCAACCCAGTCCCAGAAACCCTCTTGAGGAAGTAATAGAAATATGCCAGAGATAACTCCTTATTTGAAAAACCGTCAACTGCTGGGATGTAAGAAGGCTGAACTATATTCTCCTCACTCAGAAGACATTGTTTTTCTGAATATGTGAATGAGCACGTGCACAAACACACATAAATGAAAACAAAATGAAACAAAATTATTATTTCTTTACTTGGGAAGGAAAACAAAACGAAAAATGAAACACTTTATAAATGAAAAACAAGACGTTTCATATGTCCAGGACTGCACTCCTAGTAGCTTTGCCAAGGCCACCTGCAATGCCATCTCCAGGACTTACAGCTCTGACTTCTGGAAAGAGAAGATATTCACCAAGTTTCCCTGTAAAGAATTCACTGACCACCTTGTAAAGACCCAACACCTGAGCATCTGTGCAGATGACCCAGGCTCTGGTGGTGGCTACCGTATAGTGTTTCTACACAAGAAAAGTCAAGTGAATTAAACCTGAAATTATGACTCCAAGATATTATTTCAAGTTTATAAAAGACATGGAAGGTGATTAAAGGAAATCTTAAGTAAACTGACAATTTGAAAATTATTATTTCTTTACTTGGCATATTAGTCAGCCTTCTCCAGAGACACAGAACTAATAGGATATCTGTATATAAATATAGATCTATAGAAAGAGATTTATTATGAGGGATTGGCTCGTGGGATTATGGAGGTGAGAAGTCCCACAATTTGCTGTTTAGAAGCTGGAGGTCCAGCAAAGCTGGTGGTGTGGTTCCAGTCCAAACTCTGAAAGTCTGAGAACCAAGGGAGCCAATGGTGTAAGGCCCAGTCCAAGTCTGAAGGCCAAGAACCAAGAGCTGGTGTCCAAGGGCAGGAGATGATGGATGTCCAGCTTAAGCAGAGAGCAAATTCGCCCGTCCTCCACCTTTTTATTCTATTCAGGCCCTCAGCAGCTTGGATGATGCCCACCCAAATCAGTGAGGACATCTTCTTTCCTCAGTCTACCTATTCAAATGCTAATCTTTTTGGAAACACCCTCGCAGATACACCCTGAAATGTGTGCCAGCTATCTGGGCATCCTTTAGCCCAGTCAACTTGACACATAAAATTAAACATCACACTTAAGAAGAAAATCACAAAAATAGAGTTTGGGAAATAGAGCAGGATGTTTACATTTAGTCTTATTGGGACCTTTTTTCATCTTGTTTAATAAGCTAGTTAAAGATCTTTATTTAGATTCATTTACCTTATCAACTCACAGTAAGGTCTTGCACAGCACATCATTTGTATAAATAAAACTATCTATCCAGAGAAACAAATTCCTTTACGTGCAGGATTTTTTAGTTATTTTCTTTTTAACCAAACAGGATAAAGGTAGACTTATGTAATTTTTCAATTCCACATTTTTTTTTCATAGCAACTGAGAGAGAATATTTTTTAATTCCTCTCTCCTAATCACCTGCTGTCCCAGAGGATCTTCCTTGGGTCTTAAGATTAGCACTCACAGTAGCATAGAGGCAATAGTTGAACTCAGAGGAGAGAGTATAAGGCGATAGAGTTGAGAACTGGACCTTAGGGAATCCTCGCACTCAGGTAGGGAGGGGTCACGGGAGAAGTAAGAGTTCAAAGCTAATTGACTCATGCAAAGATCAACCAGCCCAGTGTGTCTCTAATTGACTCATGCAAAGATCAACCAGCCCAGTGTGTCTATTTTAATTCACAACAAACATTGACCTAAAAAATGAGAGACCTCACCAGGCATTCAGAATTCTAATTTTTTAAAAAATGTAAATATACAAAAAGTGAATGTATAGTCTTTTAGGTTGATTTCATGGAAAGTATCTATCATATTCTTCTGTTGTACCTCTGTCAGAGACACATGGATGGATGCTTGGTTTGACTTAATGTATCATTTCTGACATTCTTAGGCTTACTTTTTTTAATCACTTATTCATCTCATAGGGGTCCTGAGGAGATAAATGAGTATCACAAATATGCAAGTGACTTTGCTTTCTCTGAGTGGTTGTAGCTGTGTGAGTTTAAAAGGATTAATCCTTGCTCACTTCTCGTCCATCTTTGGGAGCAGAGCTCTGACATCCCATCTCAGGAATGCCACTCAAGTCTCCTCTTTTCATCAAAGAAACCCCATTACACATCTAGGGCTTCCACAGAGTCATGACCCACCAAATTTTGAAAATTAATTTTTGTTTGTTACTTTTATAAGTAAGGCTTCCTATATAGCCCTTAGGATTCTTAGTCACTTATCTAATAATTCTCTTGGTTCCCACTTAGCAATAGGCACATTCTTTGTAACATTTATACAGCAACGCTCTCTATTTTCAGGTAACATCTCTGAACCATAAATATTTCCGCACACACTTGGAGGACAGCCTTTCCTTGGGCCGACCCCTTCTCATTGAGGACATTCGTGAAGAACTGGATCCAGCCCTGGACAACGTATTAGAAAAGAATTTCATTAAATCGGGCACCACTTTCAAGGTGAGCTTGTCAAAAAAAAAAAAAAAAAAGAAAGAAAAAGAAAAAACGAAAAGAACAATGGTGACATCTACTTATCTTTTTGAGCATAGCAGCAAAGGCATTTTCCTTCAGATGGTGCTAATATTTGGTATACTGGAAAAAAATTATTTCCAAACTCATATTCAGTGTTTCCTTTTTTTTAATAGTATATGAAAAATATAGGGGGTGTGCGCTATCTTGGTAAGAGTAGCCATTTAGCTGAAACTAAGTAACACATTAAGGAAGGACATTGTCTGGTCATAATAATAATATATTAGTGTTACATGCAAAATATATATATTTTAGCAGCTCTGAGACAATTGGTTTCGCAAGCTTTGCATACATCTATGCAATAAAACCTGCATTTCCTCACTAGAGAAAATGGTATTTTAATAAAGTCTATGGACATCGATTTGTTCATTTCTCTCTTTATTAACTTTCAATCTAAACTCATGGACTTTGCTGGAAGCTGTGGAAACTGTTCCTGATCATTGGTAATAACAGGAATTGTTTTCCATATATGTGTTTCTTTTTTAATTGGTGTCATTCTACCTTTAGGCTTCTTTGGTTTATTTCTTGATAAATGACAGCATTTCTGGTTGAGTTTTTTCGCTTTGGACAACTTAATTTAATGAATTTCAGTGAATAAGTAAAGAATGCACATTTTCTCATTAAACGCAGATAGATTTATTTAGAAAAAATTTCTTCATAATGTGAATTCTTTTATATGCTATATTTAACATGCCAGAGGAGGCTGTAGGATCTCCATTCCTGAAGGTCTTTTGAAAGACCCCAGATTCTTATCTGCAATGTGAAGGCATGGTGCCTGAGAATGTGGGAGTGCCTTAGCTGTGTTGATTTTCAGTCATATGTAGGGTTAAGATTAACTAAAAATTTAAGTCATTTAAAAATATTATAATTTCCACCTGAGTTTTAGATAGCAAAACCAGTTTTTTTAATATACTGTAAATTGTAGTGTTTAAGATAAATGTTCTCTTTCCCGAAAAAGAGTTGGCATCTTTTTCTTTGCAAGTTTCATTAGCCCTTTCTGTTGTCAAATATGCTTCAGATATGATTGTGAAATGCAAAGAGAAATAACACTTCTCATAAACATGACACATTTCCATGGTAGGAATTTCCTCAAGTGGGAAAAAACAGTCAATCTTAGATGCGTTTGAGTTTTCCTTTATTCAACATTTGTTTTGGATAAATGTTTCACTTAATTTGCTTGGTGTCATGGCTAAAAACATCTTCAGGCGGGACCACAAATCTAAATGATTCTAAAGGAATAGGCTTTATTATTTAAGGTCAGTGATTAAAATTTTACATCTTTCCTTTGCAATTCATTTAAGTTTCACAGCACTGAGCTTTGGTGAACTCTTTCCTAAACTGAACACAAAGTTTTTGTCCTGTCCTTTAACCTGTTTTTAATTTTATGTTTGAATTGATGTAGGTGAAAGTCGGTGATAAGGAATGTGATATCATGGATACATTTAAACTTTATATTACAACAAAGTTACCAAACCCTGCCTTCACCCCTGAGATCAATGCTAAAACATCAGTCATTGATTTCACCGTGACGATGAAGGGTCTTGAGAATCAGTTACTGAGGAGAGTGATTCTAACAGAGAAACAGGTAATAATTTCTTGAGGTAAAGAACTTCTACTTATAATAAATGTTTAAAATGTACTAGTAAGTTGTTAAGTGTATGGCAAAGGAGAAAAATTAAGCAAATCATATTTACCTTTGTTAACATAAATATTTGTTTTGCAATCTCAAGTCCTGTCAAGAAATCATGTAACTAACTCACTTCTCCTTCAACCCAAAACATACACATGTGCATGCGCACACACACACACACACACGCACCAGTCACATTACTCTTTCTACTTCTGTCTTTAAACTTTTGGGGATGTTGACTTTCATATCTATAGTCCTATGGTTGGATGGTTTTTGGTATACCTGAAAAATTCAATAAAATAATGATCTTAGAGAAGAAGAAATTGCTCTGAATGAGTGTTATTGCCACTGTGGTAGTTTCAACTACTACCATCTAATAACTTAATGATCAGGGGAGCCATAATTCTATTTTAATTAAATGAAATTTGCAACAGGGAAATTAATTAAGTATAACTGAGGGTTCTAATAAAACAAAGAACAACTTAGAACTGGAAGATTTTAAGAGACTGATACAAGATTAAACTAATTTTTAAGATAAAGCTTAGAAAACATTAAATGTTATGCATAAAATATATGTATTGCATATATAAAATATATTTGTGTAAAATCTGAGAAAGTTTGTATTTGCTTAAATATAATTAATTTTAGTATTAAGGGTTCAAGGAAAGGCAAAGTTAGAAAGAAGACCAGAGAGACATAAAATTGGAGGGTGAGAAAAAGAATGGCTGAAGAAGACTTAAGAGAAGAAGGAAAAGGAAGAGATATGAATAGTTGGGACAAACACAGGGGAAAGACATTCAAAAAGGGAAAGACAGGGGCCGGCCCAGTGGTGTAGTGGTTAAGTTCATGCACTCCGCTTCAGTGGCCCGGGGTTCACGGATTTGGATCCTGGGCGCAGACCTACACACCGCTCAAGCCATGCTGTGGCAGCATCCCACATACAAAATGGAGGAAGATTGGCACAGAGGTTAGTTCAGGGACAATCTTCCTCACCAAAAAAAAAAAAAAAAGGGAAAGACAAATGATAGTGACACCAAAGAAATAGAGAGACTCAGTAAAACGAGAAGTAAAATCCTACCTGGTTAACAGACATGGTTAACTCGGGGCAGCCCTTGAAAGCCAGCCAGTCTGCTGGAGTAAGAGGGGCACAGTTCCACCTTCCACTCTCATTAGCTGTTAGCTTCCAACAAGCAGCCCTAGGCTTATGCAATCCAGAAAGGGAATCCTTCCCACTTCCACAGCCAGGCGGATAGCATGGGCCCCTCAATTCATTGCCTCCATCACCTCTTAGGGCTACATGGTGTCAACTGTTGAAAATTAGCCCTTCCTTCATGGTCTAACTGGTACTCTTGGTCAGTTCTGAGATGATTCCTCACTGGTCCAGATCCTCCATGCAGGCTGCACTAACTTCTGTAAGGCAGGCCCCTCCACTGTCTAAGGTAGGCTACACTCCTTGTCCACAGAACACCTCACACCCACTCTTCTAGGCCTTAGCTTCCACTTCAAGAGATGTGCTAAGATGCTCATACCAACCTTGCTGGAAAAAACAAAATGCACACTTAATCTGCAGGAGGACATGCTGACCATGAAGTTTAACCCTCTTAACAGTCCTGCTTTTACACCCCCATTGTACAGATGAACAAATGGAGACCAGAGAGAATAGGATCTTAACCTCTATGAGCACATGGACTTTGCACCCTGCCAAGCCTCCTAGATAAGCTTTACAGGTCATGTTGTAAAATTCACAAGTGTCCACTGTACCATGATGCTTGTTTTTCCATATCATACTGAAAAGGCAGCTAACATGATTTCATTTTGTCCATGTATTCCTATACTGCCACCCAGGGGTGACTATTTTAATGAAACCAATTCATTGGCTATTTCCCTGCACATAAAGCCATAATCTTCATCGCCAGCCTGTCAAATACTGCAAACCTGATCTTATAGTGGCAATGTACACTACTCTTGGAGTTGGGGAAGAAGGGTATTAGGCCTGTCTCTGCCAGTAACTAGCTGTGTATATTATATTGGGATGTTACTTGGAGTTAATATTTCTGGGTCCTCAGTTTCCCCAGATGTAAAATAAAGTTGTTGAACTAAATTTAGCACACTTCAATTTAGCCAATATTTACTCGGTTGAGTCCCTTCTCTGCAAAACCTCAAGATAAGTGCTGTCAAGAAGACAAAAATGAACAGGACAAGTTCCTGCCCTCTAGACGCACGGGATCTAATTGGAGGGACATAATCTACACACAGATTGTGATGTAAGCCACAGTAGATGTATACAGATGAATGCTGTGCTGTGGCTTCTGATTGATGAATTGGTTTAGGAAGACTTTCTCAAAGTGATGGAATTTCTGAAGTAGTTTTTCAAGAAACTTTCTCACATAAGTAGTTTAAAAACACCTTTTAACATAATTCTGAGTACAATATTGATTCCGTATAAGATTAGAAAAAAAGTGCTGTAAAGAATGCTATTGAGATAATTTCAATTTATTCCATATTTAGCAAGAGTATTATATTTATGTTAAATTTCCTGAATTTGAAAACTGCACTATGGTTGTGTAAGAGAGTGTCCTGGTTCTTAGGAGATTTGCTGAAGTTTTTAGCGAGTAAAGGATCATGACACCTGCAAATGGTTCAGCAATAATCATAACAACATTAATGATAATAAGTTTTATATATAGAGAGATAATGATAAATAAAAATGTTATTTAGTGAATCTAGGTGAAGGGTATATGAGAATTCATTGTACCAGTCTTGCAACTTTTCTGAAAGCTTGAAATTTTTTAAAAATATAATTTTAAAAATACACCATTTCTGTAGAAAAAGATATACCTTATGAACATCCAGTGTAGCCCCTCTGATAGAAGGAGATGCAAAACAATGGAAAAAGGATTTTTACTGGCTATGCCAAACCAGGTACCTGGTGTTCCAAGAGGCAGGTCCAAAGCCAAGAGCTCACATTTGGCTTGGGTAGTCTCTTGGCTTCTTGATATTAATGCCTTTTGTTTCTACCACTTCTGACTGCAGATAAAGTTCGCATTTCTCACAGAGGCAGTGTGGGAACAGGGCCAAGAGAATGGGACGCTCTAATTTAAGTAAGCATAGAGCTGGGGTTAACGGGGGAAAATTATATTAGCAGGGTTATCTCGTGCATGCCAGTGTAAGTGCTGCGGAAATTTAATGCTAGCGGGCATAATTTTAAAAAATTGTCCAGAGAAACAAAAATACAGATAGATAGATTTGGCTACTGATAGTAATTTCTTCTGTCATTTGAAAGGCACTTTGATTTAAACTTTCAAAAATTGATAATAAACACTAGTAAATTGGATTTGCCATTATAACTGGTAATTACAGTTCTGATGTTATTTTTTGATTCTTAATAATAGGAGTTAGAGTCTGAAAGGGTTAAACTTTTGGAAGATGTGACTTTTAATAAGCGGAAGATGAAAGAACTTGAAGATAACCTCCTCTACAAATTAAGCGCTACAAAAGGTATTGTGTTATTAAGAAATAATCAAATAATGGATTCTGAATAAGGCTTTCTTGTACCCTCTTTTCAATGCCCTCATGATTACAGATGTTAGGAAATAGTTGAGTTATCAATGCAAAAACAAGCCAGGCAATTTCCATCTCGACATTAAAGAGAGACTGCAGAGAATCTGATTTTTGAATTAGCAAACAGAGTCTGAGCATTTGAAAATAAGACAGTTTTCTTGATATAATTGCTCTCTCCTGAGAAACATAAGGGCTCCCAATACAGCTAGGTAACTCATAATAGGCTAATTTGCTTGCCCAAAGGAAACTAATGTGCTCAATCTATTTTTCTTTTCTTTTTTTTAGATTGACTCTTTCATTTGATGTTAAAATGTGAATACCACAGTGGGTTATGGTGTGCATAATCTGTGTCAGAGGCACTTGAACACCCAAGGCCCAGCTCACTCTCTGCTTGACTTGACTTGACCTCTCACTCATAAGTTCTCCTCGGGACAGTCAGGTTCTCGTACCACATCCTGATTTAGGAAGGCACCCTCTCTGAATACACAAAAATGTTTTATCCAAAGAAAATAAAATCAACAAACACTATATTGTTCTATAGTAGACAAATTACAGCAACCTGAATTCTACCATTTATTAGCAGTCTAATAATGAATACCTCCCAACAGCCCTTTAATCTTTGGATAAAAAAAAAACTTAGCCTCCCAGAAGTACATTATGCATTACTCTCACAACAATCTCTAACACTATCTTTAAGGTGACCAGAGGGAAAAGTCCTTTTACCTGCCTTCATTGCACTGCTTATGCTGGTGAAGTTCTGTCTCTTGGTCCAGTGACTTCTCCCAGCCATTTGGATACTCCTGGGCATTCTAAATACTAGCAAGGAGAGCTGAGAGCTCCTCCCCTGATCCAGCCAAGAGTGTCCTGGATCAAGATCTCTTTCCTGTGAGGTTAATCTCAATCTGGACTTCCATAGTAGACCTAGCATGCCCTTCAGAGTAACTCAGCACCTTCCCATAGCGCTCACATGCCATCCAGACTTCTAAGGTCAGCCAGAGCATTGCCATTTGCAGATATGATGACCTTTAGCTCAGCATGTCCAAAGTGTCTTTCTGTAACTTAAAACTGAATTTATTGTCATAGATGTGTGATTTCTATTAAAAACAGTAACAAACGGTCAAACTAAAAATACAACTAGGATTCTTCTTCCTGACAAGACACTTCCGTTATCCCCCAATTTACTCTTGTTAGAGATATAAAGGGCTCAGAGTTCTCGGTGGCAAAGGACTGTTGTACTAAGACAGGAGGAGTGGAGAGTGTGCTGCTCGACTGCAAGCTGGTGTGTAACATTGGGGTCAGCTCACACTGTGAGACAAGCTGGATGGAGAAGCTCATGACACTTTGAGGGGAACCATCAGGATGATAATGGAGGTGAAAGCCGAGTCACATAAGGAACAGCTGAAACCGCTGGCAGTGGATGGAGACGTGATTTTGTCCTGAGACCTTTGAAGACCAGCCATGCAGGCTGCCTTGAGAATTGCCTTCTGAGGATTTTCAGGCAGAGGCAGGGATAAACCGTCCGCAGGAATCTTTAGAAGGATTCAGGCATCAGATGGTAGTTGGACTAGAAGCCTTTCGGTGTCTTAAGATTCTGCTCTTGGGGCTTTGGAGAAGAGGAGTTGAAAATTAGCGGGATGATTTCAGAAGTGATGCATCTTGCTTTGCACCTTTCCCATCTTGTGTTCTCCAGTTTTCCTGTTTGGCTTTTAGGTTCCTTGGTAGATGACGAATCTCTCATCGGTGTGCTTCGAACCACCAAGCAGACAGCGGCTGAAGTAAGTGAAAAGCTACACGTGGCTGCAGAGACGGAGATCAAGATTAACCTGGCTCAGGAGGAGTTCCGGCCTGCAGCCACCCGCGGAAGCATCCTCTACTTTCTCATCACAGAGATGAGCATGGTCAACATCATGTACCAGACCTCGCTGGCCCAGTTCTTGAAGTTATTTGACCAGTCTATGGCCAGGTGGGGCCTCACTCCCTTTCTCCCAGAGGAGTCGCTTAAAATTCTTTTTGTCTTCCCACTCTCTTAGACATGGCTTTTTACTTTTCTGATTTTTTAAATGTATTGCAGGTCTGAGAAGTCTCCACTACCTCAGAAGAGAATTACAAATATTATTGAGTATCTGACATATGAAGTTTTTACATACTCTGTCAGAGGCCTGTATGAAAACCACAAATTCCTCTTTGTACTCCTCATGACCTTGAAGATCGATCTTCAGCGAGGAACCGTGAAGCACAGAGAGTTTCAAGCTCTCATTAAAGGTGAAGGGTTTGGAAATGGATATGATACGTAAAGGATATTGCTCTTGAGATGCTCTTTGATGTTCCATAGGCCCATTTTGATAATATAACAGAGGAATTATGTCCTAATGAAAGTGAAGTTCTGTATACATCCTTTTTCTTTTTTCTGATTTCTATTCATTTTGCTCTGGTTACTCAAGATGACTTACTCCAGGTCTGTGTTAACTCTGATTTTTAGTATATAAGTTTGATCATTGTTGCCCATGACTAGGAGACCCGAATGCCAGAAGGAGGGAAAACGATGCTGGTGATGAGCTTTCCATCGCAAGAGAGCAATTCCCTAAGCAAGGGAGTATAATGCCTTTCAAGATTGTAAAAAAGGCACACGTATTTCATATTTGAAGTTAATTCTATTCATTGCTTATCTCCATGTTAAAAGTAAAATTAAGAAGACAGAGTGGTATTTTCATTCAGTTCAGCTAAACAGGTATTTATTGAGCACATACTATGCAAACCTACCACGCTAGTGTTTCAGATACAAGGATAAACCAGACATTGCTTTAAAAGAAATAACAGTCTCATCATGGGGATAAAGATAATTTAAAAAATAACTGCACAACAAGGCAGAATAAGCTGTGTTATAAGAGAGCTAACAACAAAGTGTTACATCTAAAAAGAGGGAGAGATTACATGTGATTGGCGAGATCAATAAAAGCTCCTTGAAAAATATACCTTTGCAGGGTAAGCAATGATTTTTTCAGATTATTTGATACCTGGGAAAAATGTTCCAATTTTTTCCTTATGTTTTTTGCTCTTAGTATATAGTTTAATGAATCATTTTTCTGGCTGCCCGCTCTCCTAAAAGAAGAAATTGGCATTTGAAAGGGACCCTGAAGGATAGGTAGAAATGAAGAGAATGTTCCATGCTGAGACAGCGCAGCATGAGAACAGAAATGAGTGGAGTATGTAAACTGCTGAGCCTTGACTCCTAGAGAAGGATTTTCTTGATCTGGTAAGAAGCAAGGAGCTGTGTAAGGGGAAGATGTGGTCCTCCAGGAACATTTAATTGCCCTTTAGGAAGACTATTCTGGCGGACACCTATAGGATTAGAGAAAAGAGGTTCAAGGGAGTCTGTTATAGTCTTCACAACCACAGGTAACGCATTCCCGACCTTGGGTAGAGACAATGGGAACATAAAAGAGGAAAAGATATGAGGGATCGTGGAAGTAAATTGGCAACAGACTGGAGGTAAGAGCCACGAGAGGGGTTAGAAATGAAGCTAAGATTTCTGGTTTCTGTGGAGATTCCTGGTCTGGTTGGTTGGAAGAGAAGCTAGTTTGAGGAGCGTCAGAGTGGGGTTATAATGAATATGGTTTGGGGATGTAGTTTCAATCAGGATAGGCCAGGTTTTGTGGCCAGAAACACAATCCCAAAATTTCAATGGCTTAACACAACAAAGGTATACTTCTCGTTCACTCTCTCTCCGACATGCTTGTCATGGTCACCCAGGAATTGAAATGGCTTCCCTAATGACTATGGCAGAGGGACAGGATGTGGCAAATGGTGTGCTGGCTCTTAAAAGTTACCCCATAAGTGACACATGTCACTTATGCTCATAGTTCATCAGCCAGAGCAAGATACACAGCCACATCTAACTTTAGAGAGAGCAGGGAAATGCAGTGCCCCCAGGGGCGTGGAAGATGGGAATCTGAACGTTTTTGAACAGCTCACAGTATGTGACTACATAGACATGTTGAATTTGAGATAGCCAGCAGACGGTTAGAAATGACAGGCCAGACAACTTAGGAGAAGTCAGACAGCTGCAAAGACAGGGCCCAGAAACAACAACCAGAGCTGTGGGAATGGAAGAGACCATCTAGGAAGTAGATGTCGAGTATTTCCAAATTCATACTACAAGGTGATAGGACATGATACTCTCTTATCCTCAACATCCAATTTGTAATAAACAGGCCGTAAACTGTAGCGTTTTAGTACTCTATCATTCTTCTTTCTGTACTTCAGTTAATTTCTTCCTCAGATCCAGGTTAGACTGCTGAGGTAGAAACTTTGCAAACAATTTTGCGTAATCTCTGAAATTTCTTCTTTGACTATTTCTTGTAGTTCAAAGGAAATCGGAATCTGTCATCTGGTGCGTATTTTTTCTCAGGTCTAATACACCTGGAGAAGTTGTGTCTTGAAGTGTGTGCAGGAGTAAGGCGGTGTTGTACACTAAAGTGTGTGCTGGGCTAGGAACCAGGGAGACGAACTGGGCTCTGCCATTGACTAGCTCTGTGATCTCATAGAGCCATCAGCCGGTACCTCCACGTACTAGAGGCTGTCGGGGCCCAGAGGGGAAATGATAAGTACGGCCTGGGAGAAGCGGGGCAGGCTCTACAGAGGAGGGTTCAGACGTGCGGGCTTGTGGTCTCTGTGACATTTAAATTAAGTGAGCCTGAATTTGCCAAATCTAGAAAGCTACTTTGACTCATTTCAGTCACCTCGAAGCTCTCACTTGGACTTCGGGCCCCATTCTCAGTGTTTGGGGCACTGGACAGTGGGGAGGGGGGACGTGGGAATCTAGGCAGCAGTGGGAGCAAAATGGGCCTCACAACTCAGGAAAGCCTTCTATCTGTGGAAGGTAAGGGGGATGGGAAGTATACTTTTGAATCTTTCCTTATCTGTGAGCTGACTTTACTTCTTGAATCCCATTTGCCAGTATGGCCCCTGGGAAGGAGACAGATATGATATAGAAAAAAATGGGAAAGCTGACCCCTTGATCCATAGTGGGTCATGGGAAGGACAAGGGAATCAGAGGTAGAAGGAGGTCAGATGCAAAGTTTCTTGCCTCTTCTCTGTTTCCTGAGGCAGAACCTTGGGTAGGTAGAGGAGGGTGCGCAAGAAACATCCAGATAGAAGATGCCCATACGTTCTGCCCAGAGCCACATCCTACACTGAAGCTGCATTGCAGCACTGGTGGAGGGCAGTGGCCAGGTGGATAAGCCTTAGGTTTGGCAAGCAGGAGTGTGGACATGGAAGTGTTGAGAGGGCTGGTGTACAGCAGAGGCCTGGGCTTCAAACCAAGAAGCCACAGGGCAGGGGACTTTGTAACTGGAGACAAAGGACCAGTCTCTGAACAGCAGCCCAATGTGCCTAGGGGTCAGACAGGATTTGTTGTAGCTCAGAGGATGCAGTACAGGGGTCCCAGCCTCTGACTGAGACAAGTGGAGACTGGAGGGCAACATGCAGATCTGAGGCATCCTCCTTATCAAGACACAATCCCACCCACCTCACGCCTCCCCACCCAGCAAACCCAGCCAAACCAAAGCTATTACCTGAAAGAGATTGGATTCTTTGAGAGAAAGTATGTAATCAGAGGAGACTGAAAAACAGTGGGGAGGGAATTTGTCAGAGGGATTAGATTTGTCACAGAAAAATAAAGAGGGCTGCACATTTGGGTTGTGGTGGGAGAACATCTATGACCCCATTTCATAAAACTGGAGAGTCAGGGAGAACCAGGTTGCACAGGGCCAGAAAGCCAGTGAGAGGAGTGTGGATTTAATTTAGTTGGCAGTAGGGAGCCATCGAATGTTTTATGAGCAGAGAAGTAGCATGGATAGAGCAGTGCTTTAGGAAGATTAATTTGGGATTGTATGTTAGGTTGATTGACAGAAGTATAATCAGCTCAGCAATAAAAGAACTGATTTATTGTACAGTTTGTATTAGTTTTGAACTGGCTTACATTTTGACCAAATTATTTTTAAAAAGATAGTATGACTTTGTTTTTAAAGTTTTTTACAAAAAGTTAACAAACATGGCCCTTACATCATTGATATTTTTTATCATTTTGAACTTGATACTTAAGGGGGAAAGAAAAAAGATTTATCAAAGCAGAAATGTTTAATTTCCCAAGAGTGACTGTCCCTCTGTATCAATTCCTACTTGTTTTCTGCAATATTTGGAAGGTGCCTTTGACTTTCTTCTTCAACCGAGAATGTCAGAACACTTTGAAAAATGAAATAGATACCAGGGGCAATCCTGCGTTATAGAGTAATTGATATACCTGTTTTTCCTGCCTGGTTATTTTAGAAAGATATCATCTTTCTTTTGTTGTAAACCATGGACAAAAAGACAGCTTAGGGGTCTGCTCTTGCCTTCCAGGCTGGATTGGACCCTAGCCTTCCAAAACAGAGAGAGAGTTAATGTTAAAATAACAGCTAATGATTGCATACTTTTTTGCTCAAGGGTTGATAAGTGAAGTGGAGGGATTTGATGAGTTCTTCAGGAGGATTATCAGAATTAAAAATTCAAGAAGCACTATTTTGCATACGTCAATTAAACAACAGAGCTGGAATTATTATGATAAAACATTACTAAAAACATGCAACAGAGGTATTTTGAAATTGTAAATATGATCCATGTGTCTTGGTGGAAGACTGTCACATTGGGTATGCTCATTTGGCTTGTGATTTGCTGCAAAATCCGATCCAATGCTATAACTCATGTTCTCCGCTATACTCCGGGAGAGCAGGGGCCCTGTTTGGTCTTCTCTCCTTTATCCCCTGTGCCTGGAATATGCCAGAGACGTAGAGGGTGCTCAATAAATATTTGTTGAATAAACGAATGAATAATTGATTTTAATGTTAATTACTCCCTTAAAAACCCACAGATGTATTATATTCTTCCCTCCCTCTTTCCCTTCCCCGCTCCATCTATCCGTCTATCCATCTCTTTGACCTGGTGAAAAATAGTATTGAATATCAAACTTCTGGAGGAGTGATGACTGACCAAGAAGTGATTTTTAAAATCACACATGAAAAGGTCAAACTATTCCTTGATATCAAAATTGTAAATTTCAGGTTATTAAAAAGACAATAAAAAAGCAAACAACTATAACCACCTGAGAAAAATTCTTTGCAGGGAAAAATGACAAGGAGTTGCCATCTGTATTTTATCAGATGGTAGTAATCATTAAGTAAAACACTAAGACTGGAAGGAAATGTACCAAAAAAAGGTAACCCCATTTTCTGTAATGTGATTATTTTCCAATTTTTTTCTATAATATGGTTATCTCGTTTTTATTATTTGGAAAATAAATTTCTGAAAACGGAGCACAAGCTGACCTGATTCCCGCTGACGCCTTTTCCCAGGGGGAGCAGCCCTGGATCTGAAAGCCTGCCCTCCCAAACCGTTTCGCTGGATCCTCGATATGACCTGGCTGAACCTTGTGGAGCTAAGTAAACTTCCGCAATTTGCAGAAATTATGAACCAGGTAATAAAAGCTGGATAAAAGTACAGATCTGTAAATCTAAAGACCCCCGGGCCTTTTTAATTGGGGCCTCCTGGTGACAGTTCCTTCACTCAAAGAAGGCAACACAGTAGCCTAGCGTTAAGGCGCTGTGGCTCTCTGGGGGAGATTTTAGACCCAGGGGTATCAGAAGGAACCTTTTCACAGGTGCAGACGCCTGCCTTGTCCTTCTGTGTACTGAGCATGGGTCATTTATAAGCCTGCTTGAGTTGCTGTCAGAATCAGAACCCGCAGGTGGACCCTTTTATTATAGACTATTGATGTTTTTACATTTTTACTTCTGCCTGTGATTAAATAATTTGTGCAAATTTGAATTTGAGGCAAATTAAAAGGTTAAGATCCTGTTCAAAAAATCAGTCATTTTAATGGTGAAAATATAAAATGGTGAAGTGTAGTGGTGAGAATGGTGAAACCGGTCCTGATTTACTGTTGTTTTTCTTATTTCTTAGTTGTTGATTCAACTCTCACTGGAAAACAACTATGCAACTCAGAATAAAGATAGTTATTGCTGGGGTCTGTTGGTTACAGCTGCCTGTCCCCGATGAGGGCCTGCATTTTCCCAGTGTCAAACGCTGATCATCATCTTTTTTGCAGTTGCTGGTGATGGACAAATGTGGCAATGGGTAGACTGCAAGTGGCTCCCCTCCACACCCCCCACCCCCTGCCCAGCGTACACTAGGTGTGTCTGTTTAGTGGTATTTCTGGAACCTTATGTAGACTCCTTGCCCACTCAGCCACTGTTGGGTCTGAGTCAATGGGATAAAGCCCCTGGATTCCATCTGTGGTGGACAATAAGCTTTGTTTTGTAGTACAGCCATAGATGAGTCCCCCAGGCCCAAACAAATACTTTGAAAAAAAAAAGTGGTCTGAGTCTGGTCAGAGACTGGGTAAGGGAGATCTTCAAGCACCACTGGAAAAATCACTGAAAACCTATGTCCTCCACTGATGGGCTGTGTTGGTATAGGGATGTGCATTATCATTTGCCTCTGTCAACTGGATTTTAAGTACCCGTGGTGTAGAATCTGGTAGCTACTACTGCTAACTATGGGATAAGTACTTTGCAACAACAATAACTGTGCGAGGAAATATTATTGACCCTGCTTTATAGATGAGAAAACTGAGATTCAAAGAGGTTAAGTACCTACTCACGGCCACATAGCCAATAAATGGCAAAGCTGTAATTCGACCTCCTGCTCTTTCCCTGACATCATGAGTTCTTTCTTTCCCACTCCTTTTACACCATTGGATGGGCCAGAGCAAGGGGAGGAGTCGTTCTCAGGAAAGTTGCAGAAGTTCTCTGGGGACCCATTCTCAGGCGGCCATCGGTTTGGCCTGTTTGTGGAAGGAAGGGAGGAAGTAGCAGGAGGTCAATCTCCCAGCTGAGTGGGTGTCAGGAGTTGAAAAAAAAACAGCCTCACACAGCAGCTGCCCTGCCTTGGCATCCCAGGCCAAACTCTTTAACACCTGGAAGTGGTTTTGCCAACACGGAGGGCCAGAAAAAGGACTGGGAAATGGAGGTGGGTGGCTAAGGGGCTGGACGTTATCCAATTGGCCATCACAGATGCAGCTCACCTGGAGGCTCTATTGTGGTAGAGTCAAAATTAGCAGATGGAAGGCCAGCAGGCTGGGAATAAACACTCTTTCTTCTTGTGCCTTCTCTCTAGCCACCAGTGTGGAGGAGGCCTGCAGGGGGTGCCATGGGTGGCAGCATGTAGGTACCAGCGTGGTGGGGTGAGGCTGCAGCAGCACCCAGGCCCTCCCAGCCCTATGCCAGGCAGATTCTTTGGGAGCAGCCAAATAGGGAGAGCCATGCAGTCTTCAGGGGAAAGATGACAGTTGTGGAACATTTCAGAAATCCTCCTCCATCCGTTAGTGTCCAGGGACAAAGGCAGAGCAACTGAGTTACAGAGCAATTGTTTTGTTATTAATTTGCACCCTGTCTGTATCCTATATAATGAATGGTTTGTGCAGTTATTGAACCTCTCTGTGCCTCAGTAAAAAGTGGGGATAATAGAGGTAAAAGTATGGTCCTTGAGTCTGGCACATAATATCTGCTGTGTAAACATTTGCTATTTGTTATCAATGTTTCCCATGGCTTCTAAACCACGCTTACAAACACTGTCTAAATAATCCAGCCTGATCATTGCTGAGGAGCAGCATCAGCCTCACCAAGCTATAGTTTTTGTAATTAGTTTTGACAGTACTTGGGCTTCAGGGAGCACCTTTCAATGCCTCTGAAAACCTGCGATTCTCTCCCTGCTTCTGAAAGAACGGGTATTTGAGACCAGCTCATGGAGACACTTCTTCCATTCTTAGGTTTAAGGTCTCAAGGCAGAGGATCACCAGGAAAATAAAAGTTTTGATTTTGTCATCCATCACTATTTTAAGTAGAGGTCAAAATTTAGAGGTTTGGTTATCAGAATGGTCTATATCAGTGGTTCTCAACCACGGGCAACTTTGTGCTACCCCCCAGAGAGCCTTTGACAATGTCTAGAAATATTTTGATTGTCACGAATTAGGAGGAGGGGTGCTATTGGCATCTAGTGGGTAGAGGCTAGGGATGCTGCTAAACATCATACAAGGCACAGGACAGCCCCCCTCAACAAAAAAATAATCTGGCCCCAAAATGCCAATGGTGCTGAGGTTGAGAAACCCTGCTCTCTATTTTTTCCTGCCCGATCATTTTGTGTAATTGATACATGGTCCCGGATTTAGTGAATAATGTAGAAAAGCAATGGAAAAAAGGAATACTAACATCCATGTTATTTGAGTCATTGATTCTGAAGAAAAATGTCAACTGTGTAGTTATGTTGAAAAATTATCTGCCTATAAAGAAGTTTTTCAGAATCCTCTCCAATATATTCCAATTGCATATATTCCTATGGCTTGCTAATTGGCTTGTTTATTTTAGATATCTCGTAATGAGAAGGGATGGAAAAGCTGGTTTGATAAAGATGCTCCAGAGGAAGAAATTATCCCGGATGGATATAACGATTCACTGGATACCTGCCGTAAACTTTTACTGATCAGGTGAGAATAGGTGTTATCTGACCTAGAAGCATCACTCATTATATTAAATTACAGATCTCGCCTCAGGGAGCTTACTTCAATACATCCCAGTAGTTATTATAAGAAATGTGTGTGCTTCCAATGCAGTTTTGGATGGCAATTCTTCAGTTCCTTGACAAGTAAATAAAATGGTGACAGTGAAAGGAATGGTATATCTTGACGGCATATTAATGATAGTGCTTTTAGCAAAAAAAAAATGAAACATATGCTCTTATTATTCACTTCATTCATCATTTACCTTTGAGTGCATCATTTATTGTTGAATTTACTTCTTTAAAAAAAAAAATAGACCTCACAAAGTTATAAGGCAATTAGCTCATAAGCTGAAATTTAATTTCATCTGAGGAAAAAACTAAGAATGTTGTGCTATTGAAATGTATAAATGCTGTTTTGGCTATTAAAATGGAAGCAAAAATTTGAAATTGTTGTTAAGGAAGAACATTCTTCCTTTTCTTTTCTTTTCTTTCTCACTTTTCCTGTTTTCTCAATATCTGGTAGCTCAAAGAAGACTTCTATATTGGAAAATCAGTGTGTGTGTGTGTGTGTGTGTGTGATTAGTGGGAAAGGAGGGTGGAGCTGGGGGAAGATGAGGCCACCAAAAGAATAACAAAAGGATGTAGAGCTACGTTGGAGTAGTTTTTTGTCTTTGCTAATATTATTCACCTGAGCTTGCATCCCTTAGAGAAAGTTGTTTCCTGGATGTTGTCACTCTTTGAGAGTGATCAGAGCAGTCAGCAATGATGACCTCATGGTTGACAGAGTATGAAAGGGCTACTTGTTTTTATTGGAATAGATGTGTCTCTCTTCCATTCATCATTTTTAAATTGAATCTATGTCAAATGAATAGTGTAATCTACTAGCAAATAAGAATCTGTAGGGCTTGTCTGCAATCTAAAATACCAAATGACATTTGTGTAATGTGTTGCTGGGTTTGGAAGCGACTACAGTGGAGGCTACACAGATGGTATTACATCAACGCTTGCTGATCAACCTACTTTTGACACCTTTGACCTGTTAATTCTCCCCCTGAAGACTGCAGAGCTTCAGAGTGTGCAGCAGGCTGGCCCCCACCGTGTACTGGAGCCGGCAGAGAACTCCCCCGCACCGCCCCCTGGGTCCCTGCTGAGTCCCCAGCACCCAGAGCGGGGCTTGAAGTGTAGTCTGCACTTGATAAATCTTTATCGGAAAATGAATGTGCTCCTGTGTGTTAGTTTGAATGAGGAATTGCTTACGTGAAGCTGACAGCCTCAGTTACTCAGGGTAATCGTTGATGTGTTTTTAAAAAACAACTAATTAAAGCTTCAGAGTAGTTGCTGCTGCTTCTGAAAATGAGACGCTTGGATCAGATGACTTCTGAGTTCCCTTCCAGGTTGGCAACAGACCATGTTGTTGCTGGCTCTGCCCTGCTTCTTGCCAGTGTCTAGCACCAAAACTACGTGAGTAAATTTGCACTGATCCAGGGATAGAAAACCTTGCCATCCCTCTTACCCAGATCTGCATAAGGGAGAACTAACGTTTTTTCCTTTGCTAATTAAATATGTTCTTTACATGCTTAGAATTTGACAGAATCAAGAATGAACACACTGAATTTCTTCCTCTAACTTGTATTCACTCCTAGGTCTTGGTGCCCAGACCGTACTGTTTTTCAAGCAAGAAAGTATATTGCAGATTCTTTGGAGGATAAGTACACAGAACCAGTTATCTTAAATCTGGAGAAAACTTGGGAAGAAAGTGATACACGAACACCTCTGATATGTTTCCTGTCCATGGGATCCGATCCCACAATTCAAATTGACGCATTGGCCAAGAAACTGAAGCTGGGTATGATCAGCAATCTGTGAAATTTAGCAAAACCTCCATATATTTGCCTCAAATTTTACCTTTCATAACTTCATAATGACTTTTAGAAATATATCCATAAAGCTGAGTTAGGAAAAAAATTAAACTCCTTACTCTTTCCTCTCTTTTCAGATCTTCTAGAGTGAGGGTGTGGTATAGATATCTTTGGGTAGAGAGGAACACACTCATCTACCATATACTGTTTTTGTAAGTTGTAAGCAGATGACCATACTACATGGATAGCAGACTAGCAAGAATGAACATACAGGAGTAAATTTTATTGCCATGTTTATATAAAATTACAACAAAGTCTATTTTATCACAAATTGAAAAACTGTAACCATTATTGTAATTCGTAGTAATTAGAGATTCATTCATTCATGCTTTCGTTCAATAACCATTTAGTACAGACAGTGTACGAGATTCAGGGAGTACAGAGATGAGTACAATGTAGCTGGGAAAGACAGACATGTAAATGCATAATTGAAGACAGTGTGACAGCTGCTATAACAGAGTTACATAGACATGCCTGATTACAAGATTCAGAGCTACTCAGACTCCACGGGGTACAGGGGAAAGCATCACACCGATGATATTTTGAGTAGGATCTGAAAAATAGATCAAGTTTTACCAGGCGGGATGGTGGGAGGTAGAAGGAAAGTTATTCCAGGGGGAGGAGGCAGGGCATGGGGTTATAAACATGTAAGTTGTGAGGGCAGTGACTGGGTCAGCAGGGCTAAAGGACAAGGAGCTGCATGATGCAGAGCACATCCTGATAGGATTGAGCCGTCCTCCTATAGGATGGCTGTTTCTAGGAGGGCTGTTTATCTGCTCTTCATACTCTGAAAATCTGAATGTTGTTGGAATTGCCATTTGGGATCATCCAGGTTCAGATCTCTATAACTATACCTTATAGGATTAATTCATTCATATATTTATAAAGATTATAAAAGTTACTGATTATGAATCACTAAACCTACCCTATGTAATAAAACTTATATTGAGTTTAATATATAATTAACATAAAGATGCTATAAAATCAATTCAGTCGTCTCCAAGTATTTGCCACGTCCCTCTGTGCTAAGAAGTTACTGTAAACCGTTAGCTTATGGTAGCATGGTCTATGTTCACTCCCTGTTTTCTCAACTTGACTTTGCCCTGTTCATTGTTACCACACTGTTGTGTCTTCCACGTGGATCCATGTTTGAATGGTCACTTTCTTCTATCTGAACACTGATACCCAATGCAAAGAACTCCCAGGTTCTATTGGCAATTGCTCGTGGTTCAGTCTCATTAACCACCTTTAAAGTAGGCTGATTTGCTCTAGTGTTTACTGCAGCATGCCAGTCATCTGCATCGGTCTAAGAGTGGTGCCTTTCTTGCAGCTTGTAGTTTGCAAATCTCTCTCGGATCTACTCCTTTATGGATCTTTGTCCAGCTGCTTCTATGCCCCACTTCTCTCTGTATGTAAGTTCCTTTTTCTTGTCTTGCCACAAACCAATCTCTATGTGACCATCTCTCATGGCCTCTGGTGGCTCATGGGCTTCACCGCTTACATGTTCAGTAAGTTCAACACTCCCAGGGAAACTCCTCGTATTCTCTTGGTCCCAAGTCCAAATATCCAGGGAAGATGTTCATTGGTTATGTGCTCCTTTCTGGTCCAGTCAATGAACTGTTGCTGTGGAGAAGGGTTCATAGCAGGAGCCATATGTATGGAGCTAGAGCGGGTGACATTACTTAGAAGGGGATACTGTTCCTAGAAGAAGGGCATGTTCCACTAGAGTTACCATTTCAGACGTTACTCAAAATAATGCTACTGTCTAGAACAAGAGTTTAAGAACAGAATTAAGAGATTCAAGGTCTCCTTTGGGAGAAATTGTAACTATGACATTAAATAAATACATAAGGCCAGAATTGTGCAATCACATTTAGAGTTGCTACATGTTATCGTACTGCTTTGCTTGGCAATTCGGTGAGTTTCATTTCTTGCTACTACTTTAGTTTTTCTAATGCCAATTCTTCAAGCTTCTATTGGTTACTTTGTTAGGATACTGAAACAAAGTAGATTTGGTTGTGACACTAAAGGACCCAGTGAATTTTATAAAGAACTCTTTGCTAAATCATTTTTAGGAATGTTAGGAAGTCTCATGGTGTTCACTGCTTTGGGTTAAAAATCCCCAAAATAGCTGTAAAAATGAAACTATTATATAGACAGAATATTATTCTAGTCTCACTAGAAATATTTTATTTGTATAACTGGATAATAGATAATCATAGATTGCCCAAGGTGAATAGGACTCTGGAAATCTTGAAAACCAACTACCTTATTTTACAGCTGGGGAAACTCAGGTCTGGAGATAAGTCCAGAGAGTTAATTGGTGACAGATCTGATTCGGGACTTATCTCAGGGCTTCCGAATCCCACTTCAGTGGTCTTTCTCTTTCCTTCCCTCTCATTGAGTTTATTGGATGAATTAACCAGTTATCTGACAGCGACTTGAGGAATGGGACCAAATCAAATAAGTTTTGGTAGGAAAAGAGGAGCAGGAAGACTTCTCACTGTGGATACTGTCTGGTGCCTGTCACGCTCTGCAGTGAGAGATTTGGAGCAGATAAATTCTGCACAAAAGCACTGGGTGCCTGGACAAGGGGGAGAAAATAGATGGATTTAACACGAGAACCTTTCTAGGAGCCTGGGTAAGGGAGAAAGGGATCCCAGAGGAAGGATGGTTTGAAAATAGACTCCAAGAACAAAGAAATAAAATACAAACTCATAACTATACAAGAGTAGGAATGAGAAAATGGGTATAACACCACATATAGATGAAAAAATTTAAATAACAAGAGAATGTTAATTCTGGTAATTTAATACCAGCAGAATAGTTCTGGTGTGTAATTATGGTAATAAACATTAAAACTGACAAGTTTGTAGAAAAATATAAATTTACAAAAACTTCTCAGAAAAGGTACAGAAACTTGAATAGACCAATAATCAAGAGGAGAAAAATTAGAAGTTTTTAAATTACTACCTCAGCAAAGGCTCTGGCCTTGGATTATTTTTTTTGGTAAGTCCTTTAAAACTTTCACGTGCTATCTTCCATTCTAGACATAGAAAAAGAGGATACATTTTCCTCTTTATTTTAAGGGAATAGCGTTATTCTATTATCACAAATAGACCAAGATAGTAATTGCATAAAAGAAAGAAAAGCACAGATTGATCCTACTTATCAATGTAAATGTAAGGATCTTAACTAAAATGCAAGCAAGAGGAATTCAGTGTAACATTAAAAAAATAACATGCAAAAAAGTAATAATAACATACTTTGACCAAGTGGGAATGCATGAGAGAATATAAGAAAGATACAATATTAAGCAATCTCGAGAGAGGAGTCAAGATGGCGGCGTAGGCAGACTCGGAACTCACCTCCTCCTGTGGACACAGCCAATTTACAACTACTCGTGGAAAAATTACCCCTGAGACAGAACTGAAAACTGGATGAGAGGAACTCCTGCAACAACGGACAATCCTA